AAGTTCTAAAGGATTTTATTTTCAAACTCATGAGTTTGAGGACAAAATTATCAAGCAGATCTACTACTAATCCTGTTGCAGTCAGCTGCCACACGTTCCCAGTGTTTTATGAACTTCTGCTGGAGTGGTGAGGGGATGGCAAGGTGGTTGAGTACCCACGTTCCCACCCCCAGGGCTGCAACTTCCTCTGCACCCAGGGACCCTGCTCCTAGTGCATCTCCGTCCCCAGCAAGAGCAACTGCCCTGAATTTTGGACTAACCCTTTTTTTGCATTTCTTCACAAGTTTGTCATGTAACTGAAACCCCGTTTTCTTTAAGGCTTTGGGTTATCCGAGAACTCGGGCAAAGTGCACCGCGCCTGCCGAAGGCGCCCGCGAGGTGGCGCTCGTTCTCCACGGCGCCCAGGCCGGTTGACGCTGGCGCGCTGCGATTCTCAAGCCTGGTTTTCTGTGCGTAGAAAAACTAAGCCCCAAAAAGAAAGTGTCCTCGCTAAGGTCGCTTAGCCGCATCTCGGAGCTGTGAGCGCAATGATTTCTGAACCCAGTGAGTTTTCATCGCCTGGCTGCCTCCCTCAACGATCGGTTTAGATTATCGATTATAATAAAATAGTGTGTTTCTTTCTTTCTATATAATCAAGTTTCAGTTCAGATCTGCAGGTCTTAGCGTGGTTTATTTTCAAATGCACGGAATAGGAAAAAAATCCTTGTATTTGCCTGCCTGATTTTTTTTCTCTGGTTTTCTTAAAGTTAAATGAAGTTCTTTTTCTGACGAATAAGAAATTATAAATGGGTACGATCAACGACGGGAAGCGCCGAATGAGAATAAACCTGAGGTTTAACGATAAAAACCAGTTGGGGTGGAAAATCCAATGGGCGTTTGGCCTCAGATAAGACCAGACCTTAATCCTGGCTCAGCCATTTACTGCACAGGTCGTTTAAACTCCGTGCATCTTAAAAGGGGATAATAACGTTTTCTACTCATTCGATTCCCAGTGTTGTGTATATTGATTAAGTAAAATAGGCTTTAGCTCCTGGCACCCTGGGTAAAATTGCCTTGGCCCGTGATAACAATGCTTTTCTCTGTAGTTTAATATTCTCGGACCACGTACATGAAAAACCTAACTGGGGCTGCACGACTAAGGGGCCCAGGATCGGTGTTGGGGACCGGCAAGTGGCAGGTCGCTCGACGCTTAGGATGCTGCGGCTGCCTGGAGCGCACTCGCGACCTCTGCCAGGACCTGGCTCTGGGGAACCTTCAGTGACACCCTCTCTCCTCCCTCTTGCCGGCCCGCGTTCAGCAGCGGCCTCAGAGAACACCGGTTCAAGCCTTCATTTTAACAACAACTGGAAACTAGAGAAGGCAGGTGACTTCTGTCAAGGTCACGGCATCTGAGAGGAGTCCCGCATGGTCCCCAGTTGCTGGGCAGCACCCGGAGCGCGGCTTCTGGCCCCTGGCGACGGGGAAGGTGGCCCGGGGTGCAGGTGGCGGAGGTGGGGGCCAGGCTCGCAGTGGCACCGACAATCAACGTCGGGCAAACGCGGGTCCCCGCGAGCACGCGCACCTGCGGGGCAGCTTGCGGCGCGCCCACGAGGGCCAGGTTTTTCTCCTTCCCCGCCAGCTCCTCTCGGGTTGTTCCCGCGGGCTCCTCTCTCCCCAGCGCTCCCGGCCCGGGACGTTCTGGGGACCAAAGGGCGCAGCACGTAGGGGGCGCGCGGGAACCAAACTGTGGAGGAGGAACCGGAGGAGGGAAGCGGAAAGAGAGGAGGATCAGGAGAAGAAGGAGAGGGAAGGGGAGAAGAGGGGGAAACTAGGAAAGAACAGGGCCCGAGGGCGGGGAGAAGGAGCGGCCGGAGAGAAAGGTGAGGGCGCGGGTCAGCGAGCAAGTCAGGGTCTCCCCAAAGCCTCTCCAGCCGCGCAGCTCGCAGCTTCAGCTCTACGGACTTCCCAGGCCTGCCCAGGCCGGAGCGCGGCGGTAACAGAGAGACAGGCACTGATGCCTGGAGCCCGCCGACTTCCAGAAGCTGCAGGCTACGCCCCAAGATAATCGCCCCCGAAGAGCCAGAGCCGGGCCTGTGCGCAGCCGCGGGGCGCTGTCCCTGCCTCTGCCAGTCTGTGACCCTGCGACACCGCTGACCTGCAGCCTTCAGCACCCGTTCCCACCCGCCGGCGTTGACTCTGCACGGACCGGGTGCTATCTCTGGCCCCCATCACCGCTCACCGTCCTCCAAGCCTTTCATCTCCACCTGAGCGCTGAGCACTTTTGAGGAGCAGTTTCCAGTTACAGATGATCGCCGTGGTGTTTATCCACCGCCAAACGCTCAGCGCCCGGCTCTGCCTGCAGTCACTCACCAGACCTAAAGATCAACTGACCCCGCGGTTGCCAGCGACGACACGGGAGCCTCCCTAGCTGTGCCCTTCCTGGAGACCTAGCACGCCGCCACCTTCTTACCGGCCCCACAGAAAAACCTGGAACCTTTGACCTGCTCTTCTCATGCTTTTGCAAACCTATACCCAAGCCTGTGGTGGAGGGAATGTCCAACTGTGATTTGGGTTTCTTTTTAAAAAAAGAATTTGTAGGAGGGGGCCATGGTAGTTATTTTTAAGTAAGTCTTTGCATAGCCTACAAACTTACTCTAATGCTTGGCTGTGCAAACCCCAAACATCTCTGCCCGCCTGTGTGTTCTGAACTCTATTCTTTGTGTGCAGTAAGTCCTAACTCCACAAACCAGCAGCGGTCCACACTTGCCCATCCCTTACCTTCCGGGCTGTGTTAATCCCCTCCTCCTCGACTGGCCCCCAGAGAAAAGCACTATTTTTACGTATTCTCCCAAAACCCATGGGGGTGGGGATGGTAATTTCAAGAATAAAGGTGAGTAGGGAAACACACTCTGGGCGTAAACCTTGTTACGCTCTCAGCTGGGTTCCTTTCTGAGCCGGTAGAACACCCCATCCCTCATACTTGCTGAATGCGGACACCACATTTAAACACCTTTCCGTCAGAGGCCACGTAATTGTAAAGAACTATGGGGAGATACCCTCAAAGTGACAGTTTTTTTCCCAAGTACACTACAGGATCTGCACAGAGCAAGAAAAGCACCGTGTGGCTGAAATGCCGAAAAGGGCATTAAAACGTCATTCTGAGGCTGAAAACTCAAATAGTGGGTATGTTTCCTCCTGCGGGCGCAGAACCAGGACAACCAAGAAGAGAGCGACAGAGGGAAATGTGACTTGTGTTAAGGACACCAGAAACACCCATCCTAGCAATTGACCAAATTAAAATCAGTCCTTTAAATTTATCTAATGGTTCAAGTTTGTGTATTTGGTGTTAACCCTCTGTGTGGAAGAGAGTAAAGGATATTACTTGAGCAAATTTTTTATTTAAAAAGAAATAAATAAGCAACATGTATTTTTATAGATGCACAATATTTCTATTTCTTAGCTTGGTTCCTACTCTTTCATAAAATAATGTAATTCTTACTTATTTTTTATTGTTGGGGATGCATTGAGTATACCATAAACCAGGTTACACGGATAGCATTTGTTAGGTAAAATCCCTCTTATAACTGTGTCTTGCCCCCAAAAGGTGTGTCACACACCGAGACCCCCACACTCTCCCTCCTTCCTTCTTATTTTTTAAGAAGCATTCAACGTTGTCAGTTTCTATCATTTTACTATGGTAACTCCCACATATGCTTTCACACACACAAACATATGAAATCTTATTCAGTTCACAGTAGAAGGATATTTTAAAAACAAATTAAAGGATTTTTTTTCTTACTAGTATAAAACTTAACTCACTCCAGTTAATTTCAGTATTGACCACTCAGAGATATGACTGTAAAATTTCCAGAAACTTTCCCAAGGATGCTTTCAATTTCTTCCCCTGAATTTAGTGCCAACCGTATTTTTCTTTCTTTAAAATTCTTCCATAGAAATCGAATGAAACTAAAGATGGCAAGAAAAAAATAGGTATTTCTAGAGTGATTTTAATTAGCTGATTATTTCAGCAAAGAGCATTAGCAGTCAGGAAGACAGAAGATGCATTCGGTTCTTCGTATTTGCTGTAAAAAAACTCACTCTGAGAGAACCGAACCCTTACTAGAAAACAGACACCACTCGCATGGTTTATGAAACTGCATTATCTTGAATTTTCTTCGCAAATTTTGATTCAGCTTAATATCAGTATTCCATAAAAATGAAAAAAATGCTGGAATCGGCGGATACACCTGCAGAGGTACGTTATTCTGGGATGGGGGAGCTGCCTAGTCGCGGCAAGATCCCTCCAGGACCAGGCTTAGGTGAGAAGGGGTTAAGTCAGACTCAGTCTTTGGCGGCGCAGCGTGCCCAGTTTTGTCTGTTACAGTCAAAGTTGCCCAACCGGAGGCAGCCAATGGACTGTCCCGGAGCGCCTGGGACAGCCCAGTGAGGGGGCGTGGCCTGAGACTGTCACTCAACTCTGAGGAATGACACCCGGGCGGGAGGGGGTTCGGTGGAACGCAGGGGAAGGAAAGAGAAAAGAAACAGATAAAACCAGAGCGGGGGTAAAAAGGTGCCCAGCGCCTCTGGGAATCCGGGCCGCCTCCGCCTCCGGGGGTGGGCTCCGGAAGAGCCTTCGTTAGGGAAGGGAGGACCAGTCCGGAGCGGAGTCCTGCAGGCGGGGAGAGACAGAAGCGCAAAGAAAAAGTGACTCGGGCCGTGCGCCCCGGCGGCGCTCGGGAGGGGACTGCAGCTGCGGAGGGGGCCTCACCAATCCTCCTTCGCGTCCCCCGAGGGGGCCGACCCCGGCCCGCCCCTCAGGGCCAGAGGCAATGAGATAATCCAGCTGAGCTGCGAAAGGAGAGCGTCCAGCGCTGGATTCGGGGGAGGGGGTCTCCGGGAGGGGTGAGGGTGAGGGTCGGCGCAGATCCCCGGACGGAGGGGGCGGGGGCTGCCGGGCCGCGCAGGAGTGGGCTGCCTGGGCCTCGCGCGCCGGCTCACTCGCGCCGCCGCCGCCCGCGCTCTCAGTCCGGCTCGGACCTGCTCGGCGCCCCAGCTGCCCGCCCGGCCGGCCGCTCCGGCCCGCGGCGCCCATGGCTGTGCGCGGCGCCAACACCTTGACGCCCTTCTCCATCCAGGCGATCCTTAACAAGAAAGAGGAGCGCGCCAGGCTGACCACGCCGGAGGGGCGCCCGCCACCCGGGGGCACGGCGGTGACTGTGGCCGCGGCGCCCGCAGTCTGCTGTTGGAGGCTTTTTGGGGATACCGACGCGGGCGCTCTGGGAAGTGTTGAAGACTCTCTGCTGGCGTCTCCGGCCGGTACCAGAACTGCTGCCGGGAGGACTGCGGAGAGCCCGGGAGGCTGGGACTCGGACTCGGCTCTGAGCGAGGAGAACGAGGGCAGGCGGCGCTGCACCGATGCGCCGGGGGCCAGCGGGGCCGGCCGCACTGGAGGAGCCCTGAGCCTTGGCCAGCCGATCTGCGACCTGCCCACCGCCAAGGACCTAGACGAGGAAGCTGCGGGCCGGAGCGACAGCGAGATGTCGGCCAGCGTCTCAGGTCTGCTGTGGCTTCGCGGGGAAGGGGGCCGGGCTGAGGGGATAGATGAGGAGGGCGACGCTGCCGAGTGGGGTGGGCCGACTGTGAGCACCCTGCACTCTGGGGCTCGGAGACCCGCCAGATCCCGAGCCTCTGAGCCCTGGCGCGAACTACTCTACCCCTCCCAAAACTGAGCCCGCAAGAGGACCAAGAGGCTCCTCAGAGCCTCGCATCCCCAGGCGAGGCCTGCGACGTCCTGGGCCCACATGCACTAGACAGGGTTGGGAGAGCTGGGAGTGGGGGCGGGCGTGAGTCTATCTCTAGTGCCATCGCAAGTCTATCCCCACGTCCCCAAAATCAGTGAGTGGGGAGACTGAGGGATCCAGAGACCTAGGTAGCCAGGGCTCTAGCCCTGGCCTAGAAACCCTACTAGTTCCAGGTCCTATGGCCCGGCCTCACGGCGCAGGGTCGGGCTGCAGAGTACACCTCCGAGTGAGTGAGTGGCGAGATTCTGCGGAGCCCGCGCTTTGGGGAAAGAGATGGTCTAACCTTCTCAGACTCCAGAGCTGGAGAAGCAGCCCTGGGCCGAGGACCCGGGAGCTGGAGGCAGAGAGCTTGATTTAGGTTTTTCTGCTCGCAATCAGGAGAGGGGCTTCCGCAGCTGCAGGCTGACACGTCCTGTGTTCTGGAAGACCCCCCCCCCAGCCTGCCCCAGTTGGGTGCAAACTGCTCTAGGCCTCACGCTGGCCACGAAGAGGTTGCAGTGCTGAACCACTGCTGGGATGCTTTGGGGAGTGGGGGAGAGGGCGATCTGGTGTCACTTAAGGGTCCAAGGGCCCAAGGCAGGGACACGGTCCTCTCATCACTCTCCAGGCCTTCCTCCTCCCATTTCCTTGTGAAGAAAGGGAGAGAAACGCGTGTTAAGACAGCCTGCTTGCCTTACTCGGCACTGCAATCCTGGGCGATTGAGGGTGAAAGGCTCCTGGATCTCTAGTCCTGGCCCTTTACCTGCAGCCTGTGCCTGTGTGACCTGAGCGTGGGGACGTGGGTAGACCCCGCCAGGGAAGCCGACACTTAGGCGAGAACCCCAGAACTGAGCGCTGAGAGCCCAGAGAGATTGCTCGGGAGGTGCTCAGGCCCAGCGCCTCTCCGTACTGAGGGGACCTGGAGCCCAGAGAGGGTGTGGAGCTGGGCCTGGGCCTCACAGCGGTGACGCAGCGGCGGAGTCAGTCGCCGGCATCAGAAGAGGCCTAGATGAGGGCAACCAGTGGAGCAGGCTCTGAGACTGGTCTCCAGGGCCGTGGCCTCTGCGACCTCACCGCCGCCCTGGGGATCAGAGTGTATTTCCGCCCCGCCCCAGTGACCCCCGCCCTTGAGGATTGGCTTCGTCCGGTCTGGGGGGCTGACAGTCTCTTGTTTCTGTTCCCACCGGGGTCCGCAGGCGACCGCAGCCCAAGCGCCGAGGAGGACGGTGTTGGCGCCGGAGGTGCACGCGTGCCTGCGCTGTGCTGTGGAGCCGGCGGCGGGGGCAGCAGCGCGCCGGCGGGCGGCGTGGAGGAGGAGGAGGGGCCGGCGGCGCCCAAGCCCCGCAAGAAGCGCTCTCGAGCCGCCTTCTCCCACGCCCAGGTCTTCGAGCTGGAGCGTCGTTTTAACCACCAGCGCTACTTGTCCGGGCCGGAGCGTGCCGACCTGGCCGCGTCTCTGAAGCTCACCGAGACGCAGGTGAAGATCTGGTTCCAGAACCGTCGCTACAAGACCAAGCGCCGGCAGATGGCCGCCGACCTGCTGGCCTCGGCGCCGGCCGCCAAGAAGGTGGCGGTCAAGGTGCTGGTGCGCGACGACCAGAGACAGTACCTGCCCGGCGAGGTGCTGCGGCCGCCCTCGCTCCTGCAGCTGCAGCCCTCCTATTACTACCCTTACTACTGCCTCCCGGGCTGGGCGCTCTCCACGTGTGCGGCCGCCGCGGGCACCCAGTGAGCCCGCCGGGGGAGGCGACCAAGATGCCCGCACCCAGCTCTACGGAGGTGTGGATTGGGGTCGGTGCCGGGCGCTCCTCCGCGGGGCGCATGGAGGATGAAGTCCAGCTCTGGCCTTGCCCGCCAGGACTGTGCCCTGGCACCCGGACTGCGTGTGCCCAGAGGGGGCGCCTTTTTCTAACTGAACAGAGGCATCCTGCGGCCTAGGGCCCAGCTCACCGCTCACCTGCCTAGAAGCCCGGGGACACTATTTATTACCACGACGATGCTGGGTTTGGATTTGGATTATGACCGCCTGCTGGGGATGGCTTTTCCCCAGAGCATGAACTCATCGAGACCACATCGCCTGAACCCAGAATTTCAGGCCTGCTGGGAGCTTCGTGCGCTAGGCCACACTAACTAGTTCATGGTATCCATGCTACCGATCTATGTGTATCTACATATCTTTTATTTTTGGAAATTGCATCTATAACAAAGGGGTGAGGCACCTGGCCACGCCAGCCAGGGTTTGATTCCAGTCGTGTGGGTTCTCACTCCACCCTCCCGAGTGAGTCCGAGCTCTGGTAGGGGCGCCCTACTGGGTGCGAATGTAAGGAAGGGAGAGTGGAGCAGGCTAGGGGTCCCCACTCCTTCCCCTTCTGAAGTCCAGGGCCCTCCCGGGGTGGGAAGCGCCAGGGAAGGCCAGAAAGAGAAGCGCGCACACCCGAGCAGTCCTTTCCAGAAACTTTCCTTCATTTCTTTTTATTTTTTACAGGAGATTAAGACCCGTAGCACTTTTCAGTTGTTTGTATTCAAATGACGGTTATTTTTGTACTCAATGTGAATATCCCTGTCCAGCCTTCCCAGGGCGCACTGAGCGGTGGCGCTGCTGGGCGCTCGGTCCCTCACGTGCACCTCTGCTTCTTTTGCGCCCTGGCCCGGGACGCCCTGGCCCGCCCTATACCCACCCTTACGCGGGTGATCCCACCTGGTCTGTCAGCCTCGCCGCTTTTCGCCCCCTGAAGGGTACTGTGCAACTAGAGTATTAATTGTAAAAAGATTTGTAAAGTTCGAAAGCTCTATCCGCTGTATTTTTTTCTTTAATTTATAAACTTTTAGTTTAACATGCCCTCCTGGACGCCGTGTTTGTTCTGAGACTCTCTGGGACTTGGGAATGAGGATGGGGAGGGATAGAACCGTGAGACAGGTAATGTCGCCTGGAAATAGGTGAGACTCATGTCCCAGGCGTATTTTGGAGGAAGGGTGCACCGCCGCCTTCTAAGCGGGGAGGTTTCACACATACACAGTTTAGCGAATCTCAGTTTCTGGAACTTTGCAGCACCCACTGAATTCGGGAGAAAATTTCTAGAATTTTTATCTTCTTTTTTGTCGTGGGCATTGCTTACAGAGTGCAGGGAGCGTCCGTAGCTGAACTCCTAACCCAGTTTCCGTCCCCACTTCAATCTGCGCGCTCTCTCTCTCTCTCTCTCTCTCTCCTCTATCTTGCACAAATACGTGCATGCCGGTGTCTCCTTTCGATTTTCGATTTTTGGAGAGCATTTCTCTAAGTGACTAGGTCTTTATTTCATTCCCCAGATGGTCTAGTAAAAACTCCCACTGAAATTCCCCGGCTCCAGGGGCAAACCAGGCGCGACTGACGTTGTCTCTGCTGTCACCTGCGTCTGCCTGGGACGGGTACAAAGGGTGCCCCGCCAGGTTTCCAACATGGTGTCAGATGATGTACACCGAAGCCCACCGGGGGAGCAGACGGTGGGCAGGGCCGAGGTTACAGCGCCCCATAACACCACAGATTCCTGGGGGTGAAATGCTCATCTTTACACGCCTCTCACAGGTCTCTGGCGAACCAGAAGAGTTAATGCCACATAGCCCAGCGCCCTAGGCCTCCCTGAGTCCTCGGCCTGGAACTGGAAAACATCGAAATCCAGGCCTGGCCTTTCACGAAGATCTGCTCTCCCGCGCTACAGCGACCTTCCCCAGCTGGGGGAGGAGGCGCCTCCAAGTTTTGGTACCCCGTAGGTCTTTGGCGTGAGTTCCACCAGCCCTAGCACCCTGCCAGGGCCCGAGCCTGCCTACTTCACAAAGCTACTCCCATTTCCGGAAACAGCTAACTGGGGGAGATTCAGCGGCCCTCGGATGCGCCTCCCCGCGTTGCACCCCAACTCTGTCGCTACCGTCCGTGTGGCTTTGGCAGTCCTGTTCCTTTTCGAATCTTTTAAAGATTCTATTTTATTGTAGAATTAATCGCGGATGTATTTTCCTGGTTGAAAGTTGGAACACTTCCAACAAAGCGAGAACCTCCTCCCCTCCCCTCCCGAGAGAGGGCCACTTACCAAGGGTTCCTTAGTTTTTGTTTTTGTTCTGTCCGGAAGGGGAATTCTTCTTCCGAGGAAGGGACTTGGTTGCTGCGTCTTAACAGGGTACTTCGTTCTCCATCTTTGCAGATCTGGAAGCGAGAGAACCAGGGAGTAGCTTTGAGTAGGAAAAGGCGCGGAGGTCGCACCCTCGGAACCTGTCTTCCGCCGCAGACCCCTCGGTCCCCACTGACCGCGGTCGGCCGTGCGCCTTGCCCTCCCCGCCTGGGCC